TGGTAAAACTTGAAAATGGCATCACAGTGAATGAAGATTCATGGCCTTCAGCGAGTGGCGAGGGGTTGGTGCCACCTTCACCACTCCACTAAAATCATAGAGAGAGGAAGGGGCAGCCAGGATATTGGCTATGATGCTACTACCTTCATATATGCTCTCCAGGAAGGGGGTGCTTCCTCCACAGTAGGAGAAACTTGATTGCCTATCTGAACAAACCCAGATGCCAGGCTGTCCTCATGAGATGGCTGGTGATAAGGTGATCATATAATTTACTGTTTACACGGGACACTTTGGTAGGGGTGGGGACAAAAAATAATGAGCTGTTATTAATTGAGCTATCACTGGAGTTAAGCAGACTTTTCATAAGCAAACTAGGACACAGAGCTGCTCTCGTAATAGGAAAACTGTGCACCAGCCTTCTGCAGGGGCCCCTTGCCACTCCTGATTGATGAGTATGCTTGGGCCACCTTTGTATATGGATGGAGCATTGCTACACCTGCCCTTCACTTCAGAGGGAGCTGGGGCCAGCAGCTGGGAGGGCATGAACTCATCAAAGACAATGGTATCATGAGAAACACTCATTTATGAGGGCATGGGACATTGGGCAATGACTTAGAGCATTTCTGCAGAGCTAGCCTAAGGAAAGGCAGGATGGAGGAGCAAATAAGAACTTGGACCTGAATTCAAACCTTGACTCTTAACATATGACCTTGGGTAATATACTTAACACTAAGTCTCAGTATATGTCCATAATAGGGGAACAATAATAACATCTATTTCACATGGTTATTATGAGGATTAAATTGGCTAAGCATGTAAAGCATTTGCCTTATTGCAGTAAGTGCCCAATAAATGTGTATGTGTTTTTGAGGGCTAATCATTTACCTTTAGACAGAAAGTAGTAGTCTCACTGATTACACACAGATGGAAGGCTTACTGGGAAAAAATCAACAACCGCAAACAACACATGCACACAAACCCAACTCAGATTCTTTTAGAACAGAATAATGAACTTGTGATGAGGCAGGGGGTCCCGCGGGGGTGAGGCAGACGGAGTCCTAACGAAGCATGCCCGACTCCGGAGACCGGTTCAAGACGCAGATCTGAGTTTATTGTTTAAGTGCAGCAACATATATAACATTCCAGACCAATCAGAAGTTTACACCATCCTTAGGGCAGCCAATGGTAGGAAAGATCAAGGTACTATGTAGGGGCTCTAGGGGGATTACTCAGGCGGGCGCTGCCACTTCCCGGTGTGCCGAGGAAGCTTGTATAGGCGGAGTGCGCTCACGCCATTGCATCTGCCACTGCACTGAGATAAATCTCCTGAGCTCTTCCCACATTGTGATGCCATGAACAAACCAGGTAAAAGTTAAAGGGATATAGGAACTTACCTCAATGGTGTTAAAAAAGGATTCTATCTCACTAACAAAGGCTTCAATCCTTAAGGACTTTTCTTGTAAATTTTCTAGAAATTCTGCTAATTGAACCTGAAGAAAAGAATTAAGATATCCTTAGTATATGACATTTGATTTATTTTTGTTTGTTTTTTCTTTTTTGTCGCTTTTATTTTTATTTTTTTTGTTTGCTTTGGGTGTGTGTGGTGTTGCCCTTCAAGGGCAAACCAGCCGGCCCCCACCCATGCACCAGGCCTCTCTCCTATATAGTAAAAGGGTCATATGCGAACTGCACCAGGATCAGTGGAGCCGCAAGGCCTCCTGGCACCGGTG